GGTCCAGGTCTGGTACGGGCGCGACACTGAGGGTTGCGATCCGTTGCCGGACACGAAAAAAGACAAAAAGGAAAAGAAAAAAAAAAAAGAAATGCCCAGATCAAAGACATAAAAAATACTGTTGATTTTATAAACAATGATATCCCCCAAAGGCACTTATGATGGCCCTGGAAAGGTAGAAGAAAGACATAAGGGGAAATATGTGAAAAGTCACCTCAAGGACTGAAAGTTTAAATCCCACAAAAAAGTAGGCTGTGGGACAGAAGAGCAACATGAGCTCTGACTGACAGCCTAATTCTAGACCAAAGCTTACAGAAACTTTGATTCACTACTTCTTGCTCTTTACAAAGTTCATTTAATTTTATACCAAAACTGCTCCGTACAGAAAGCATTATTTTCTTCAGTTCACTGGCTATCTGACTACCTTGAAGTTTGTGCCTTAGCAAAATCACAGGTAATATGTAACAAACTTTTAGGATCCATCCCAAATAGCCAAAACCAGGATTAAATCTACAAATTCCAAGAGCCTAACAGAATGTCAATACAGTCAGCCCTCCTCATCTATGAATTAAAGCAACTATGGAGGGCCAATCCACAGGTTCCGCAGGACTGACTGTGGGACTGGAGCATCCGTGGATTTTAGTATCCACTAGGGATCCTGGAACCGAGGGACAACTGTGTATATCTTCTATCTTCCTCACTATGTCCTCAGCTCTTTAAGAGATGAATCCATATCTTCTTCACTTTTATATCCCTCACAGCAGTGTTTTACAAGCAGCTGATGTTAAATGGTAGGCATATCAATAATTATACTTAGTTTAAGAAGTGTTTTGAAATACTCAGGATGGAGGCTCTAGCAGGCTAGATAAGGGAAGAGTTTCAAGTTATCTCCACCTGAGAGCCAATATCAAATATTTATTCCCTTAAAAGAATATATCATTGGGCCGGCCTGGTGGCACACTGGATAGTGCGCCGCTTGGGAAGAGCGGCAGTGCTCCCGCCCGAGGGTTCGGATCCCACATACAGACCGGTTCCCGCTCACTGGCTGAGCGAGGCGCGGGGGCAACACCGAGGGTTGCGATCCCGTTGCCGGTCCCGGTCCGGTACGGGGGCGACACTGAGGGTTGCGATCCATTGCCGGACACGGAAAAAGACAAAAAGAAAAAAAAAAAAAAGAATATATCATTTCTTCTAACCCCTTACTTGTTTTGATTGCCTAATATAACCCTAATATGGCAAAAAGAAACAAATAATTATGCCAAATTATATCCTGGACAGACCTAACAGAGAAATTTTCCTTTTTTCTTTTTTAAATTAAATCAGTTAAACATTACTATTACCTGATTGGCTCAGACGATCATAGGCCATCATTTCCAGCAGATTTTGTCCAGCTTCTCCTTTTATTAATTTAATCTTTGGTCTTGGAACCTGATAATTTTGGAATCAAAAATCTTAATTCAGTGATTCCCATATTTCTAATAGTAAGATGCTCCTTTATGGTACAGTCTAATTTTGTGATAATAGTTAACCAATGGCTAAACTGAATTGGAAAACAGACTACAAAAAACTCGGAACCAGGGAATTAATATAATCCATAAAAGATACATACAAAGAGCACTTATGAGAAATTACTTCTACCAAAAGCACATTCAAGTTATATTAACAGAAATAAAAAATTTAGTAATATTACTTTTCTAAACCTCATAAACAGAACTACAGCAGTAGAAGAGGTGACGACCCTACTTTAAACACTACTACTGGTGAAACCATACTTGAAAACGCCACACTGTAGATAGCACATTTTCAGTACTCTGGGATACAGTATAGTATGTATACTCTGGGATACCACTGTGATAAATTGAGGCAACCAAGGCAGTAAACAGACTCTAAGCTATATACTATGAAGAAAAACTGAAGGAATGATAAATAAATATAATGTGACAAGAAGACATAAAAGCTCTTTCGGATATTAAGAAAATTATCTTTTAAAAGATGTGTTAAACTTTTTTAATAACACCAAAAGAAAAAACAAGACGAATACATGCCAGCTTTAAGAATATTTTTATTCCATGTAAAGAAATAACAAGAACTAAATTATCCAAAGACGCACTGGACTACCTTGAGAAGTAGTGAGTGCCCTTTGCTGAAAAGGTTCACTGGAAATGACCACTTAATAGAGATATGGTAAAAGTGACCATATGGGTGTCTAGAGTAGCTGTTTTTAAATCCCTCAGGACTTTCTTAATTGGTGGTGGGAATATAATTTGGTACAACTTCTGTACGGCTGGAAATTTGGCAATATTTGTAAAATTATAAATGCACAGATACACTTTGATCCTGTAATTCTTTCAGGAATTTATTCTACACACAAATTTTCACATGTGAAATGGCACAAGTTACCACTGCTGAATTATCTGAAGTAGATTAGCAAAAAAATAAAATAAAAGCAAACCTATGTCCAGTCTTGGGGCCCTGGTTTTAAAATTTTAAAAACTATGGTACATTCCTACCATGGAATAATACATAAACATAAAAACTAATGAGAATAGTCTTTATATACTGATATGGAAATATCTCCAAGATATATTTCATGGAAATAAACAAAAGTAAATACAATGCTCAAAATTTTTTCTATTTTAAGTGGATATGTGCATGTGCGTCCACTTGTATATGCATAAAACATTTCCTGAAGAACTCACAAGGAAGTAATACATTTCTCAGGGTAGAGAAGTAAATGACTAGGGAACACAGATAAGAAGGAGTTTTCACGGTATACACTTACACATTGCTAGAATTTTAAACCATGTGAATATAATTACATTTTCAAATACATTAATTTTTCAAAATAAACATATTCCTTAAGAACCTAAAAGTTTCTGATTTTGAATTTTAGAAAAATCAGTTTGACATCCTTTTACCCACAAGTTTTCTAAACATGTCGAACTATCATCTACAGATGTTGAAAAGAACACTCAAAATAAGAAACAAAACATGACGTAACTATGTTTTCAAACCAACCTCTATTCATAAACCTAGACTCTTTTACAAAATTATACAACAGTTGAATTTGTGACCAGTTAACTATTTATGAATCCACTCAGTCAAATCATCTCTTTTCTTTTTTTGTGGTTGGCCAGTACAGGGATCCAAACCCATGACCTTGGTGTTATAAGGCTGTGCACTAAACAACTGAGCTAACTGGCCAGCAAATTTTCATTTTGGCAGTTGGCCTGTACCAAACCCTTGACTTTGATGTTACAACACCATACTCTAACCAACAGAGCTAACCGGCCAGCCCCCATTTCCCACCTTAACTAAAAAGTTTCAAGAGAGACATCGTTACACGCTGACTGAAATACAGATATATTTACTAGACCTACAGGATTCCCCTAATCTGGAGTCTGAAAACCGTACCATAATAGAAGCCAGCCTTAAGTACTCAAATGCCAACCTACAACCTACCTTTCATGCTCATAATAATTTGATAAGTAAGCTTTAAAACTGATAAAATCTAAGCATCTGTTTCCATAATATATGCATTCAACAGAAATATGTGGTAGTTAAAAAAAGAAAAAGACTGAGGTAGACGTCTGTGTGCTGAAGTAGAACAATGGAGAAACATGAAGAAAAGCAAGATATTCAGCATTAGGTAAAGTACATCCACATTGAGGGAATACAGTTTTTTAAAAGTAGAGAAAAGATGCATTTTATGCTTACATACGTAAAAGTATTTCTGAATACCCAAAAAACTGCTAACAGTGGATGTCTTCTAGAGAGACTTGGGCTAACAGGTTAAGAGGGAGACTAATTTTTCATTATTAAAAAAGTTCATGATTTAAGCTATTTGTGTTAACTTTTAACACAGATATATTTAAAAAATGTCTACTGACCAAACAGTAACATTGTGAGCTGAAAATCAACAGTATTCTTAAAAGATCTATATAATATGAACTAGAAGGAGGTACCTTCTCTAAAAGTAGTGAATCCTTTTTATTTTTCCTTTTTGTCTTTTTTACTGACCGGCAACGGGATTGCAACCCTCGGTGTTGCACCCGCACCTCGCTCAGCCAGTGAGCGGGAAGCGGTCTCCATATGGGATCCGAACCCTCGGCGGGAGCACTGCCGCACTCCCAAGCGGCACACTCTCCAGTGTGCCACCGGGCTGGCCCAGAATTTCATTCTTTTTATGGCACAGTAGTATTCCATGGTATATATATACCACAGTTTCCTTATCCAGTTATCTGTGGATGTATATTTAAGTTGGTTTGACTACTCGGCTATCATAAATAGAACTGCAATGAACATGAGAGTACAGGTATCTCTTCGACATGATGATTTCCATTCCTTTAAGTATACCCAGAAGAGGGATTGCTAGATCACACAGTAGATCTGTCTGTAGTTGTTTGAGAAACCTCCATACTGTTTTCCATAGAGGTTGTACTAATTTACAGGCGGGCGCAACACTGAGGGTTGCGATCCCGTTGCCGGTCCCCGGTACGGGCGCGACACCGAGGGTTGCAATCCCGTTACCGGTCAGTAAAAAAAGACAAAAAGGAAAAAAAAAATTTAAAAAAAAATAAACCTAATGATCATTTTTATAAGCATGGCTTAATGCTTTTTTGGGAGAATGCTTATTTCTTTTCATTTCAGAAGTAGTGCAAGCTTATTAAAGAAAACATTAGAAAAATGGGTTGGAAAAAGGATATTAGCATATCATCTAAAAACAATGGTTAACATTTTGGCATATTTTCTTCCTGTCATGTTCTATGTATAAAAAAAGGTTTTGTGTTTTCAAAGATGAATAAATATACTGTTAATACATTATATACTGTTATAAATGTTATATTCATGTTATATGTTTTTCAATTAACATGTTCAAATGGTAATCACATTCTTTTATTACAGCATATATAACCATACCTTCAAATTTACTTTTTTATTAGGTTTTTGTTCAAGTCTTTGTTTTGTCTGAGTTTTTGTTTTAAGTGAGATTTATTCTATTAGGGGGTGAGGGATGTGGGGTGGGGAGAAAGGGGAGGTGGCTGACTGGTACAGGGATTCAAACCCAAGTCCAAACCTTTGACCTTGGTGTTATAACACTGCACTATAACCAACTGAGCCAACTGGCTAGCCCCCATACCTATCATTTTTTGAATCAAGTTTTATCCATATTTGAGATTATGTCCTTATTATATGTTCCCAGAAATGGCAGAGTAAAAAGATCAAACTCTTAAAAACTGGTCTTCACATAAGTTACAGCTATGCAGACTATAACCAGCAGTGCATCAACATACCTGTTTCACCATCCTTATCAATATTGTGTACATCTTGTTATTTTTCACCTATCAAACTGACTATTTCATTTTAACTTTTGTTCTACAGGTTCATTCACAGATTTTCATTACATACCAGGACTCGCCTCCATGTAAAACACATAAAAGTCTCAGAGAAATGTCAATTGCACCTAACACTGGAAAGGCTTACCTGAAATGCTATGAGATAGCACAATGCAGCCAACTCAGACAGAGCTCGCCACTGCACATCATTATGCTGACCCATCTTCAAAAGCAGGGAACCAGCATGCATGTAGAAATGTCCTTTCATTTCTAAGAAAGTAGCTGACAATTCATCATTTCCATCCACAGATTTCACACACTGAAGAGCACTATCAAAACTGTAATATTAAAATATAAAACAGGTATTCCTCATCTACTGCATTATGAATAATCATGGTTTCATTACTTAATTCAAAATAAAATTAATAAAGGGATTTATTTCAAGCTTCATTTTCCACATTCAAATAGTCTTAAACTATGAATCTAGTGCTTATTTTTTATCCTGCATATACAAGCTTAACCTCTAAAAGGATGTCTTACTCCAAAATAGTTATTGCTAGCCCTCCAATCATAGAAAAGATACAAATCAAATAAGATTACTGATTATAGGTAGATATTTCATAATAAACCAGTAAAAAGTTGGGAAACTGAAGTATTTTCTAGTTTCTTCTTGATCAAATGGTTTCATTATTTAACTCAAAGATGGAATTTCTCAAATTAGACATGCTATTTCTAAATTATAAGTAAATAACTAGCAGATATTTGAGTATCAATACTACAATTGCTCTTATTATGTAGATACCTACAGAGTTAAACAGCATTTCTTACTATTATTCATAATCTATATTCTAATTAGTGTTTCAAAATCCTAAGGATCCTCAGAATCTTCACTTTGTAAGAAAAGCAAAAGCAAACACTCAAATGTGAAGCATAATTTTAAAATAACTTATAATTTAAAAATCGGAGCAACAGGGATTTCTTCTAGCAAATGAGGTCTGAGGACCTCGCAGATTGAATGAGGAAGTTGATAAGAATTCAGCTGTGTTCTATTAGGCCAGACACTAAAGAGATTTACAAAAAGGCAAAACAATGCCACTCTTCTCAATACTTATGTTGTTTTAGAAAATAATTACTTTTCCAAAAAAGGCTATGATTGTTAGCATGTAATGGGATTATTATATTTCTTAATTAAATATTTTTTAATTTCCAAGTTTCAAATTTTTAACATGATAAATACCAATGGACATAACCCACAAAGATCTCTGGGTTCCTCAAAAAGTGTAAAAGGATCTTGTGACCAAAATATCTGAGTATATAAACCATAAGAAATAAAACATCCTAAGTATTTTCTAAAATAATACAAAAGCTTAAGTTACTTCTTTTGGATACTGCCCTTATCCTCCCATTTTAGGACACTAAGCACTTTTTACAGAAAACTATCTACACCCTAAACCTCAGTGAAATGAATGTTTTTTCCATATGCCAGATGGACAAACAAAAATTCATTTCCAAACAAATGGACAGTCCAAATCAGGGATTGGCAAACTTTTCCTATAAAGCATCAGATACTAATCTGGCTTTGTAGGCATACAGTCTCTGCCGCAACAACTCAAGTCCACCCTTATAGTATGTAAGCTGCCATAGACAATAAATAAACAAAGATGCATGTTGTGTTTTAATAAAACTTTATTTACAAAATCAGGCAGCATGCCATATATGTCCCACAAGCTCTAATCAACCCCTGCTCTTAACCAACATCCTTATAAAAATCCACATGATGTTTTTGTTCGACAAAATTTATTTTTCATAAAATGGATATATTTGTTCTCAAAATCAAAGTTCAGAAAAAAAGAAAAATCATATATTATATTTGAGTTATTTTGTCTCTAAGCTAAAACTGTTTTCTGAAATAGTAGTGATGCTAAGTGGTTATACTAGTACATCTGAACCTAGCCATCTGATAACAGAGGAAAAACTTTATCCTCTGGTTTTCACTGAAGATTATCCCATTTTTAAAATTAAAATATGGAATAGCAGTTAGAACAGTCATTTTAAGGCTTGATTCTTTATTAAGCATGCCAAAACTGAATATTTAACTATAGAGTTGTCTAAAAATCAAAGTCATACAAAACCAATTATAATATCCCCATAAAAGAAGTAAAATTAAGATTCCCTCCTAGTGGTTCAGTGCATCGAATCCTGGGTACACTATAGAAATAATGATGCAGCAAAGAAGTTTAGACCAATAAACTGTGAAAAGAAAATCTATAATTTATACTAAAGAACCCTCCTCAAAGTTAACATACCTTTCCAGTAATTCTCTACTTTCCTGCACATCTCTAGTGGAAAGTGTAAGAAACATAAGGTTAGCATAGGCCAGAAGTAAGTCTTCATTTGTTGCTTGCCAGTTACTTTTATCAGACTCCAAACATTGCAAAGATTCCAGATATTCCTATTTTGTAGAAAGAACAATATGTTACAAAACTTTACCAAATGTTAAAAATTGACTATTTTATGCCTACAAATTACTCTACCCACTCTTAGCACATTTGTGAAACCATACTGATCTTTACATAAGCCTTATAAATAAAAACACCAAATATATATATATTTATCATTTTTATTTTCCCAATTGATCCTGTAAAAATTTCATTTTATACTCAGTCTACATAAATGAACAAAATTTAAGTCTTAGAGGGCACTGCTTAAGTACAATAAGATGTATGGTAATTGTCTACATAGAATTATAGAGACCCAACAGCTTTTACCTACCTTAAGAGTCTGTACAACACATGAATTCCACTCTAAACTTGAACGCAAAGCTATGTTCCTCTCTGCCTCATGGCAGTGGGTCACAGCATCCTTCAATCTTTTATTTGAGCGATACAACTCCACTAGTCGAATGTTCACATGGACATCATCAGGTCTTGCATAAAGTTCTGACTGAATCAAGTCAAAAAGTTTATTCCATCCATCTTCACCTTTACAATCTAAAAGCTGTTCCTATTAGAAAAAAAAAATCGTTAATTTAGAATAACACCTGTGCAATTTTAAATAAGTCACAGTCCCTATGAGCACCATTCCATTATGTCTAGCTTTAGGAAGGTGACACCAGAACTATCATCCTAAATAATCAGCCCCTTCACAGTGTTGCTTCCAGCCCAGAAGTTAAACCTTTAGAATTTTATGTGGGAAGAAGCATCTGAGATTATTGCAGTACCTGTGGTTGCCTATGCTCACCTCAGAGACTACAAGGACTAATGCCCACGTCCCTGTATACCTCAGTCACCACCAGAAGCCTAGGTCTCCCCAGTTAATACTCACCACTAAAGTCTATTTTCAAACTGTTCTGTATCTCCCTAAATCTGATTCAGTCCCCCACCACCTCTGATCCCACTTGCTCTGCTATCTTCATCATCTTCTCAAAGCACTGTCTTCGCCTCCTGGCCTTAACTGAATGGGGTAACATCTCATGAAAGACCCCACCACCTATTTGCCATGATAGCTTTTTCTCTCCTAGCCTGCATACAAGAAGAGGAAGTGGGGTTGGTGGTCTACTCACTCTCCCATTGCCACCTCCAAATCATATCTCCCCCCTTTATTGCAACTGGAATAACATACTCTTCGTTCCTAACAACTGCCACTGGTACTACCAGTTGAAAAATATACAAGATATAAAATAGCTTAGCTACTCAGTTCTTTAATCTCATCTCCAGAGATGTCCTCCACTCCAACCTCAGCCATCCAATTGCCATTACACAGTTCTTCAAAATCTGTATTTTGGTTATACCACTCAGACCACCTCACTGGGGACCCGTGTACCCTCACTGCCACATATATACTCCTCCACCACATGAAAAGTTCCCTTCAGTACATTGATATTATCAGGTTTAATTACCCATAAAACACACACACAAACTTTCCTTCTTCTCTGTCAAGCTAAAATGCTATAAATCCCTAATATCCATAATTATTGCTTGCTTTATAGATTCCTTCTTCAGTTAATCCCCTCTCCTTCCCTCAGGAGAATGCTACCAATTGCTTTCTCTGCACCTACGCACTGTTGAACAACTGGAGGTAGGCATATGGAATTTGGGAAATCACAACCCCAGGCTAAGTGATTTCACTTTTATTATCTCAAACTTCAAACTGATACTGCCTGGTCTCCAAAAAGTTCATGGAATGATTTGTATTATCTTTTAATTCTATTTTTCCACAAACTTTTTTTTTTTTTTGGTCCTTTTTGAGACCGGCCACACCGCGCTCAGCCAGTGAGTGCACCGGCCATCCCTATATAGGATCCGAACCCGCGGCAGGAGCGCTGCTGCACTCCCAGTGCCGCACTCTCCCGAGTGTGCCACGGGCTCAGCCCTTCCACAAACTTTTTGAAGTACTCTCATATTCAATCTCTAACAGACTCGCTTTCTCCATTCCCTAAAAAGTTCACTTTATACCTATTTTCCTCAACTTTCCCTTACTTTCCTTCAACCTCCACTTTCAACTATGTCCTTGATTCATTCTTCTCTGAGAGAAGTGAAGCCACCATATGTAAATTCCATTTCACCTTGCCTACTTGCACTCATCTTCTCACCATTCCCTCTGCCTAGCAAAGACCATGCCCTCCATTGGTGCTGTGCTTCATTCCCTTCTCTCCTCCATCAATCTCTCCCTTCTTCTGGATCATTTCCATAAACTTATTCCTAGCCTCTCCATATCTGTAAAAGAAGCTGTAGTCTTCAATTATATGTTTAAATAAATAAAAGAACACCACCATTATGAGTGTTTTTAAAAAATTCTATTCTCGGGCCGGCCCGGTGGCGCACTGGAGAGTGCGCCGCCTGGAAGGGCGGTGGTGCTCCCACCGAGGGTTCGGATCCCATGTGGAGACCGGTTCCCGCTCACTGGTTGAGCGCGGTGCGGGCGCAACACCGAGGGTTG